CAAACTTCCTGAAAACGATGGGGTAAATTTTATTTGCATTGTTGATCATAACTTTAGTAAGAGATTGAATGCACAATTTAAATCATAGTAACTGGGTCATACAATCAAATTCTGTCAATTGGAACGTAAATTTAAAAGGTAATATCCAAGAACCACGTTTTCACAAGATTTCAACGTGTAACTGAGTTGAAGTAAAGAGTACTAAAATGCTTCTGTTCATTAGAATTCCAGCTAAATAGAATGTCTTCAAATTACTTAAGATTTGCATGAGATGCTGTTTCGCAGATGGATGAGTGTACTGCGTCTAATGGACTGATGGGAAAGTACTCTGACTTTTTAACACCTCGCTTGCCAGTGCATACATGTTTGATATCATAAATACAGAGGTTAATAAATGACTGCAATTAAATATGAGTAGTAGTCAAATCAAAATAATTCGAGTTATTACAGCAATTTATGATGAAACATGAAGGGTTAATTTGAAATTTTATTTCACTTGAACTACTCATCCTGAAATTAAACAGAATCATTCCAGTTATCACAAAAGCCGCTGACAAAGATATCATAACTGTGAACACTACTTGTTTAACCCTTCTAGTTAGTATGTGGAGGATGATTGTTAGCAAGTCTTCCAGAATAATGAACCTCAATAAAAGATATCAGTTTGGTGAAGACATTTTGCAACACAGAGAATAAGTAATCGCAGAGAACAATACAATCTTTTGGCAAAACAAAGTGAACATTTTCAATAAGTGAATGTACATATTACTGTTTTTTATGAAATGTATGCCTACATCAAACTTCTTGTGAAATAACACCTGAGTTTGGTTATCATTTACTAACTCTTACATGTGGTTATGTTGGCAGTTCGCAAAGAAACCTGTATCTAGATTTCGCTCTTATTTGCTTAGACTAGCATTACAAAACTACATTAGTGAAAGGACGAATACATCGTAAAAGTCTCAGAAAAGATGTGCAATATGTTTGGTTTTGTTTCTTCGCCATGTTACAAGTGAGAAAAAGATATCGATGTTTTCCTTTAAACTTCTATGGCATCAGAAATATGGTGTGGAATCTCACTGTATTTATCAGCTGACATGCATTTGTAGGCACGCGCGCATAAGACGAAACCATCGATCTGTGCAGTACATCAGGAAAGTATCTGCCTAATTCATGTATTACGTAGCACATCTTAGAGACAATTCATTAACTTGTTTTCGGTGATGCATTATAACCTATCTATGATGCAGCATTGGAAGTTAAGGTAAATCCATTCATGTCACGGTCTCAATAGCCTTTACGTAGAGCTTCATGAAGTGATCATGTATATAAATAAAGTTAAACTGAATACATTCAAAAAGTCTTTCCTAATAATATGTTTAGCGATTCTTAACCTCAATTTCAATAGACCATTTGGTTTCTAAATTGTGGAATTTTCGGCAATCAACAGAACTATAACGAAGACAGGTGGATGAGGTTTTACTTATTTGTTGAAGTAAACTGAGAACGGGGAACTCATGGGTCCACGCTGTTAGAATCTTCACTTTCGGACAAATACAGGGGGTAAATATCGCTTATCCATTATAGGAAGAACTCTGTCGCAATAATATTGAGTAGAGAAATCAGAATTTGCTTTTTTTTCCTTCACGTTCTCAGTGGAACATAGGGCCTCAAGCTAGTGGCTTGAGGTTTCAGTAGCAGTGTTTATTTTACAGTATGTGGTTGCTAGCCTCATGCTCAACCTTTCCTCTTCACCAGCATTATTTCTGGCTTAGTGAGGTAAGGGAGTGCGTCGGCCGGGAATCGAACCCCGGACCATGTGCATGGTCGGCGAGCGTGCTAACCGCTACGCCACCGACGCACAGAATTCGCTTTAGCAGTACAGGATTAGTATGCAACAGAAACTCTGAAATACTTTATATCCATAAATGGATATCCAGAAAGGCTCAACAATTACATATTCAAAAGAAATCTGCCCCACTTAGACTATCCAAACAGTTCTGAAGAGTGCCATATTCATCAGTCTACCATCTAAGCGAGATGATGTTCTAGATATTTTCAAATAAAGACTTCATTCAGCCACTAGGAGAACTTAATAGGCCGCTAAACGTGTGTTCAATTGCATTACTAAGAGGGTGTTTCAAGATTCTAGGAAAGGTCATCCGCCAATCCTAGACACTTAAAAGTGCGTTTATCAGTTCGCAAGTGTGTTTGCGGTATCATATACATAAGTCGTACGATAATGTGATTGGTGAGTGGAATAATGGGTAATTTGAAATATTGGTTGAAGGCAGCTGTATTTAGAGTACAAAAGGTTTCAGCAACAAAGCATCATGTATTCAAGTGATTCTGTCAAGTCATGCGCCAGTAGACAAACAAAGAGGAAGATGCTCGCAAAAGTGAGGGCTGCTTGTACAATTAGAGTTAACAGACCCAGAATCTGTGTGGAGAAGGGAATGTTGATCAAAATGAATGTGGCATGGAAAAATGGCTTACTTAATAATGCATATGAATCCTAATATTTCATTCTTTATTTTATTTTACCTCATTATTAATCTGACTGATTACTTAAAAACTGTCCCTTACCACTATCAATAAGTTAACTAGTTTTAATATTCTTATTATAACCATTAATATTACTGCCAATATTATTGAGTTTGTAGTTCTACCGAAATTTTATGAATTGATTAAACCTTATTTTATTATCTTTGGCTGCTCTTTTTACTTTTATTTATTTTCGACTGAATAGCACAACAAACACGAAATCATCTAGTGGTTAAGAAAACAAGTAACGAACGTGTTACTCTGAAAAACTTACCATTATTCCTGTCATTATCAATCTGATTATTACATGATACTTGATTTTGAAGAACAGTAATATACAGAGGATCACAATCAGCACATTCAAAATACAAATAGAAAAATGTTCTAATAAATTCCATAGTTCAAAAACTCCACATATCCTAATAGGTTGTGAAAATATTCCTGACACACACTCATGGGATTTCACAAGTTTTGAGCTGGCTGTCAGTCAATTGGTCCGAAGAGTTGTTGAAGTTGAGAAGAACGTGATTAAAAGATTTTGTTGGATTATTCTACACCTTTTTTCCAGTAATGCTCACACTGTAAAATTTGGTTAAGTTGTGTTTTAGTTAATCGTCGTTTAAATCAGTTCCAGACTGAGTCATTCACTGTGTATCTACTAAAACACACTAAGTTGCAAAGGAAACATTTATACGTCAAATGATAAAAACACTCTCTAAATAAGCAAATACTATGAAAACGATCATAAGAGGCATAAATCAATCATTCTGAACTCAAAATTCCCACTTTATTATCAATTTGAAGCTGGTGATATTTTCTCGAAGGGATCTGAAGTATAAAAAGCGCGATCATAAAGCGTAAACAACATAAATTCTACATTATTATCGTCCATCGACCTAATAAGTTACCATGTCTAATGAAACCTAAACACGCTGAATATCACACAAGAACCACGAATACTTAACCACTAAGATACTTCAAGTCTCCTTCATCAATAAAGTCAGTATTTTGCTTGAGTGTACGGCTATACTTTTCCCAAAATCTAACGATTTGATTCTCTAGATTATAACGATCACTTGACATAAGCTTCTCCACAATCATATGCTACTAACATTGCTCATCTCAAAGGTTGCGAAAGTGACACTTAAATGCCAGCGATCGTCACATATCCTTGCTCACCTGAAGAATAAAAAAATCAAAACAAATCATTTATTTAAAATATTCTGACACCATACCAGATAATCGATTATAGACAAAACTGGGAAAGTGGTTATGCAATGCTGTTCAAGGTGGTGAAAAACCTGACAAACACTTAACTGCTTGAACCAGTGATTCGTTGTGCCAGTTACTTGTTTTCTTGAAACTGCATCACTGGAAGCTCCACTTCATATCACGAATCAAATTTAGAAGTTGTCTAGTGACGATTTATATAACTGCGGACAATAAATTATGCTGGAAATGTAATGCAGTAGTTTTGTCTATATAGGGTAGCCTTGTGAGCCTCACTCTCAACCTTCCTCATTCACCTTTTCAGAAGTTGGCTTCACTAGGTTAAGGAGAGCGTTAAGCACGCGTGCGTGTATGCCCAGGTTTCCACGACTCAACCACTGATCCTTCATTACATTTAATGTTTTTCTAAACAAGACGGTGAAAATTGAATCAGTATGGAGCCCTTGTGGATCTCCGTCTATAAATAAGTAGATGACAAATCCCTATGGTTGAAAGAAAGGAAGACCAGGAGTTGACTAGAAAATTGAGGTGAGATTTCTCATTCCGTTAAATCTCTATTGTGAATGGACTGTTCACGAGATTTGATTTAAAACGACAAACGAATCTCGGAAGAGATATTGCAACATTCACAGAAGTAATTAGAACCGGCAGCCATGGCATCACAGCACCTGAAGCAAGAAGATAACGCAGGAATTATTCAAGCTTTCCCAAAGAATGAGTGAGGCTCACCAGCTAAACAATGTGCGTAGTTGTATCGATGTTCAGCATGCCATATTAACAGTTTGACAGATGGCGCAAACAAGCTGGAGGCATAACACGCAGCATGTTCATGGGAGTAACAGTGCATGCTTCCCGTAACTCTATTCTTAATTCTGTGAACATCATCCTAAGTGAATTACGTATAACTGATTTGAACTCAGATTAAATTAAACTCCTGTTTCTTTTTCACATTATACTCTCAGAGTGCAGAATGAATAAAAAACCTTCATTATCACCTTAGAATTTGTTTTAAATACTGATAACACATGACTTACAATGGAATGATCTCACGATAAATCTGTACAGATATTTGTTGAAGGTGCTAATCAATTTAGGCTTGTTTTCTAAAATTTGATTGGTTTTTGAGCTTTTTAAACAAACTATGGTACTTCATTGAGAGAAAACGTTATAGTCGCTACTATTGGAATGCATTCTCAACATTTGGCTGAGAATACTAAACACTTCAACACAAGTGACAAGAGTACTACAAATCGAATTATGTGGTATGATTTGAATGTATTTAAATAATCGTGAAATCTGCATACGTAACTAACACCTACTTCTGTGTAACTTTATTCTGAAGTAAGCGATTCCATTTTTATCATTTGTTGTTAAAATAAATTTGGAGCTGATTTATTGAACCCACCACATTTGCATATTCTTTCACATGCATTATTGATGAACGGAGTTGGACACCTGGGGAAATTTATCTCTCAGGCGATGTGAGCATATTCTAATTATCATATATATATATATATATATATGACGAACTCCCTTACCCTATTTGTATAATAACAGGATTTTTTAGACGTTAAAATTGTCAAGGCAAGCAAGATTAGCCATCACCAGTGTTAAAATATTCAACGTTTACATTTCAAGTATTTAGGTAAACACACTGCGAAACAAACACTTGGTCTAAAAATTCAAGGCAACGTTTTCTTTCCCTAGAAATAGCTCTTACACCTGTGAAGCCTCGTTAAAATAAGCATCCCATATTTGTCATCAAACATCGAGACACCAGAATAAGATCTCGCAAAAGCTGAAACTTTTCACCCTCTCTGATATCATTTATTGATCTAGTGCTTGACATTCGTCACAAACACGTAAGTACAATGATGGATGAATATTGAGCGTTGAAACAAAAATGTGGATTTGATCGTTATTGCTGAATACATTTTTGTTTCTTTACACAGGTGAAATGTTTCCACTAAATATTCGGTTCACTGCATCAATCATTTGCTTGTAAGTTTTCCATTCCGTTGTCTTGAATTTAAACAAAAGTTTCATGACACTATAAACTAAAATTTGAAACTACTGACTGCAAACTCAAGAACCAGCCATCACCTGAAATGAAATGATGAAATTCCATCCAGAAACTGTCTATTTACCCTACTGAATATCGGAAGAGTTCAACTTTCAGTACCGCTACCGAATTATTTGAATAAGAAATTATAGAAAATTGATTCATCAAAGGAGTGTCTCAAAATATTGGGAATGATTTGCTGCTCAGATGGATTCTTTAAACGTCGTTAACATTCCCTTAGATAAAAGACCTAATTGTGGGGCATTCATCTACTTGTACGGACGACACATTCAGCGATAACCTCAGTTTGATTTAGACTGAAGTATTCTGCATGAATTATGAAAGCGTCTGTATTAGTGAACTTTACTGTGGAATTTTAGCTTCAGATTATTGTTTTTGTGGGTTCCGAGTGGAACGTTGGCCGAAAACAACACATCTTCACTTTGTTCTATTTGGTGATCGTCTCCAGAGCTGGGACCACGATCGACCTTAATCTCTCTTTTAATCCAACTCGTAACCTCTCCCCCATGTCACACTCAGACGACTCACTGGTCGCTTCCTATTGTGATTCCAGTTGAGTGGCTGATACGCGATGTTATTCGACGGTCTCCTGGGCATGTGTCTACTTCATCTCAATTTTCTTCCACAGTATTGCTGATCGATCGGCTCTTGGTTTTCGCCAGAGTTTCTTGCTAACAATTCTTTCTGACTAGCCATTAGATCTTTATTAGGAAGACAGCAGAAGCAGCTGTCAATAAAAGTCTGTTACTTTTTGAAAATAGAGTTTTTGTCACGCTTGTCAAGTTTCTGACAGGTAAAGAGGAACTGAATGTCTTCACAATGGTGCTGAAAACCTGATTCTTTTCCTTTATGTTGAGTGCAGAATATTGCCTAACCGATTTCAGATTAATAAATAAGTATCTTCCATTTCCAATCCTGAATTTGACATCATCCGTTTCACTTGTGGTTGAAACGATGCTTCCTAGATAAGTGAATGGGTTAAACGCTGTTAAACCTCTCCCGTCGATGGTGAATTGTGTTGGTTGTTATTCCTGTCACTGCTGTTGTTTGATTGGTACTAGTCAACGCCTCCGTCCTCTTTATGTTCACCGGAAGTCCTTCTTCACTGATTGCCTCTTCAGTCAGGTTTTTGGTATTAGTCTATATGTCTTCATACTGTGTGACACTAAACATAAATCATCTGAGAAATGGGGATCTCCTACAGTTTACAGGTATTCCCTTATAATTCGGTTCACATGCGTTAGCGTTTCATGCAGGTTGTTTTCTGATTTATAAGTTTTATATACATGAAGAGGTCGTTGATGTATTTTATCGGACTGAGTACGATGCTGTATGTCACTCTTAGATGTCAATATGGGTTTCAAATGAAAGGGATGAAAGGGTGAAATGGTGCATACGAGTTTTTGATTAAAATAAAATACCAACAAAGTGAAAGATAGTAGACAAGTGAGTCGTCGTCAAGCACTATCAATATTAGTGAAAATTGACAACCCTTATGCAAACCGGAAGGATTCAGCTTGAAGGAAGTAACGACGATGAGAAATAATTATAAGTTCCGTGGATGTAGGTACAAACAACCTCGATGCGTCACCCGGTAAATGCGTGATGGTTACTAGTAAGTACTTTACTTCTCTTGAGTTCCGAATAACACACTGCGCTCAAACATCACATCACCCCTTTGTCCAATTCTGTGTTGTCATCTCCAACTAAATTGTGTCTTTACCCGTGTCGTGTCATAACAAGCTCAAAACTGTTGCCAGTATTAGGGCCGGGAGAGGGACAGAGCATATTTCAATGCGAGTAGAGTCAGTCACGGTAAACAGCACCTCCTTCACTCTCTGTCCGGATATTTTTCTTTGTTTTGATAACCGAAGCAAATCATATCCCTTGGCATCTCCCCGAGGCTATGAAATCATGAATATCTTTGTCCAATTCTGTGTTGTCATCTCCAACTAACCCTAAGATTGCCAGCAGTATCTCGTCTTCTCCTCCTCTCCTGACCTCTAACAGGTCACCAATAAACACTCAACCGTAACACTGCGAATACAAATCCAAAGCTACGTGCTTAGAGCTCAACATTCTACTTTCAATTCGAACAAATGAAAACGATAATGGAATTGCTCTGTTGCCATTTCAAGAATCAATATCGTCTTTTTTCTTTTCGTATTTTAGAGGGGTCATCATCCTATTCATGATATTATTCTTCATATTCAGGAATAAATTCTCAGTGGCGTCGTTCATTATGGCACTCATTGTAAGTTTCCTAACAGCCTCAATATTTACCTACTGCTATTCATTTGTTGTCGATGGTACAGTTCACTCGGAAGTCAAAAGCGTTTTTTCCACAAGTTCAGAAAGCGAAAAAGGATACATAAATATGATGAAGTGATCGAACCGAGAGGAGATACCTTATGAAGCTACTTCAGAAATATCTTCATCTAATGCTGTGCGTGGAAATTACTACATAGTTCAGTATATTATGATAAATTTCGCCAATTTGTTATGGAACTGTTGTTAACTGAACCACTGGATGCCTTGTCGCATAGTAGAATCTCTGAATGCTACAGTACGAGAAAGCGTTTTGAATCGTTCGGGTTAACCTAGCTACTTTGCAGGTTTCAGTCATAACATGCTAAGGTGTGATAATAAGGGCAAAACTCAGATGCGAATTTACTTGACTTTTACCTCGGATTACCTTAAATGACAAGTGAACAAAATTTATTTTTTTAATGCCAGTGTACTGGACTAGGAAAACACTCAAGCGAAATCAAAATCATGATGAGAAAAAATTTTGAAATTTTATTTTCTCTGAAAGCCAGTTAGAATTTCAGAGTGAAAAGTGTAACCTCTTGTGATGTGCTGTATACATTTCTCTAGAATGTTATTCATGTATAAAATGAACGTACGAATCTAATTTCTACTCTTCACTTAAACGTCTTCATTTCGGTTTGTATTTAGATTTTATTGTGCACCACGAATATCTATCTGGCGTGTTGCTCACGATTGGATTTATGGTGTTACCTTTTAATTGGCTTCTGTGCTTTAGAAGATTTGCTAACAATCGTCTTATGCTCCTTGACAAAAAGGTTCAAAAGACAGGTGATTATTTCAATGTTAGTTTTAGCTGTGGTCTTCTGTATAACTGGGACAGTATTTTACTACTTGTACAAATATCATGTAAGTGTAGTACTAACGATGATCAATGTAACATGAGCCCCTTAATGTATGCCAATACTCACCTGACTTCAAAGTTATCTAGGAAGTAAGATATGTGTTGACGAATTCATAAAGCAACTTTTTAACTCTACTCTTGCAAACTTAACCATCGAAAACTGAAAAGCCTCAACTGTGCATACGGAAGGAACCTCTAGAACATTTCGAATATTTTAAAAATTAGGCAACTTATTTTTTCATCATCACAAACGCATTGTATTAGCTAAAAGTATTAATGTCAAAAGTAATACCTACATATTTCGTAAAAATTCATTTATATATAATGCATCTTAGTACGTTTGACTTCTATTTGGTTAAAGAATCTCTCTTTAGAGTCGCTGTTTGTTTTTCTACATGTAATGAATGAAATTGTTCATGAATTTAGCATATCTGATTCCTCTGAATCATATGAACCGCCCGAATCCTTCTTTCAGAAACATTTACACATTGAGGAGGTCTCATAATTTGGAAAATAAGTCGGTGAACAATAATCATGATATGTAGATATATGAATTGCTATTTTTATAGTCCCTACTACATCAGCCTACTTCCTTAACATAATGTAGATTTTGTTTCTACCTCCAACAAGGATTTCTTTTTCTTTACTAGAGATAATCTATACTTTAGCTACAGTGACCTTATCAGTTGTTAATGTTGACTTGTAATACATAAAAGAAAGTCAATAAGTTATGTTTACTTATATCTGTCAATATGAACGATAAAGTGCAATTATTGTGACATATTTCAGGTGCATCCTGCATGGGCGGGTGGCTTCTGGAATACTGCTTCATGCTTAGTAAGTTCAGGTTGGTTTCTCTTTGTTTATTTCGAGAGAAAAACATCAATGAATAAATCTTTCTGTCGGTAAGTCAGTGCCATCACTCCCTACACTTTCTTCCATATCAGACAGGTTTGTTTTATGTGACCCATACTGATGCAGTATTAACAACTAGGTGACGTTGTTACGATTATTGCTCATAACCATATCAGTCACACGTCTTCACCATTTGTCTTACATAAATTTACTCTCTTTCTCTCTCTCCAACTTCACTTTGTTGTTGCCATTTTCCATGTTGAACAATGTAACTAAACTTTTATGATTATGGGTGACTATTTATGCTGAAAACGTTACCCAGGTACTGATGCTGCGTCAGTGCTTGATATGCAAGATTAACTTCTTACGAAGAAAATTCCACTAAACCACAGTGCCAAAGTTCTTCACTGACACATAAATAATTAACTAAAGCTACCTGTATCGATTTTCAATAAGATGAGTTGTAGTCTAGGAATTTATTGAAGTCCGTACGTTTTAATAAATGCCAGGATTTAATCCATCATCTTCCTCTCGTTTTATTTCACAGTCTCCCATGACCAAATTATGTTGTGCGTTTTCCGACTCAGAAGTGAATTGGATTCTGTCTTCTGTTAAGTTTATATATGTGAAAAGATGAGGGATTCTTTCAGACTGCAACACAGTGAATGTGTCATCCACATATCATTACCATAACGTCGCAGCAGGTTAGGTACTCTAAGAGCTTTATGTTCCTGAATGCTAGAAAATGTGTCTGTCAGTTTAGAGGATATTGCTTGTCCCGTAGTCACATCATTCATTTGTTTAGTTAGTATGTTTTGGAATTTGAACGCCATGGTGGTTATACATAACTGAACATTAATTGTAATTTCATCAACGTAGAGCTGAATGCTTCGTCTGAGTTCAGAACCAATGTTCAGTTCATTCTTTACCGCCTTCACATCTTTATCAATGGCAAGACTAGTATACAAACTGGTTACATTATATTATTCATTTTCCGTCTTTTTTTAAAATTAAATATCCTTCAGCCTGCAAATATAAATCATATATATGTATATATACCATGTTATGTATAACTGGTACCATAACTAAAACAAGTATCAATCATATTTCATATTAGGGACATCTGAATTCTACTGAGAAACTTTTATTATTGACTTCTGTTTAGACAGAAAACTGATTGAAACTGTGGACTTTCTTTAGTGATATTGCACTTTTTTTCTTGTAGGCGGCTCTGGCTGTCAGGGATCTTCTTAAATGAGTTTTATGTCAGTTGACCGTGTCACCGTATTTCTTTCAATATTCATCGTGATTCATGTGTTCTCCAGATTATTATTCAGAGATTTGAATGTTTCCTGTTGATAGTAATACAATTCACATGTCACGTTTTCAATATAAAGCAACTTTTGATACAGCTGTTCTAATTTTATCTGAATACCACTAGTGTCACAGAAGCAATATTCGTTTGGTAACTCGCAGCGGAATTATTACAAAAAATAAATCAGCGGATGCTTACTTTTTCTTATGCCTATTGATGATGAGTTCTGAGGATGGTGTGGACGCCTTTCTAAGCGAAATAGGTGTGTAGCGTTATAAATATCTATATTTGTCAATCTTAGTTGACGAAAGGAATTCATTATTCTCAGAATTATTTCAAATATTTGACGGGACAGTAAAATTAATTAACAAAGTTAGGAGCCTACGACATTCATTATTCAAAACTCACTGCCAACCTGCACTAATGAAGTCGACTGATTAAGCTCAATAGCACACTGTCAGTAATCTAAGCGAGTTTTAAACGCTGTTGTTGTACTCTGTGCTGTGCAATTTCCAGCTGGTTAAACAGATACCACAGGCCTGCCATTCTGGGATATATTTCATATTTTCATTGGTCGAATTATTTCTCTGATTTGAATTTCAAGTGGCTCTTTACTCACGTTCGTTGGTTTTCCAACAATATATATATATATATGCCTCAAGCGTATCCCTCGTATTCTCTGATATTCTTCTTACCAAAAAATAGAAGCCTACGTATATTTTATATCATTTCAGTGTATGCCTTCCACCTCTTTATAGTTTCGAAGATGTGTAGACGAGCATCGACTCCTGTTTTCAACCATTGCGTGAATATACTTTATTTACCTCAGAAGCATTTTGTTTGCGAATTATGCACAAATCCACACTTGTTGGCAACAGTTTCTTGAGATAAACCGTCCTAAGACTGGTTTATCATGTCGCCATTCTATTCAGCCTGCAAAACATTATTGCACAATTTTTCAGAATGAAATACCGGGGAACACTATGAAAACATCTTCTGACGTATTCAAGTTTGGATTTTGAGTGATATGGCGTCACATTTATTTATGCGCACCCTAATTGAGAGTAAAGTCATAGCCAGAATATAAAATCACAACGCATTGATGCAACAGAATGATGGAAAGTGATATAATGAGATTAAAGCCGATTCAATCAGTGTAAAGGCGAATAATTTATTTCAACAACTTGAGGGGGCGACTTTAAGTAATAGGACTAACGAGATCTCTACGGGATAAACCTTCACAGTGTCATTTTTCGCATGAAAGGAGTATTGAAAGTATATTTTTCTTCAATCTGCATCATGCCGTTCCTTCTACAATCTTATCAGCCATGTCAGCTTCAGACAATGTTCCGACATTTCACTTCCGCATGTTTTATTCTGGTCTCATCATAAGTAGAGATGTAAGACTGCTTGCTTTAAGCAGCTCTGTCCGTCGATGAGGTGGTCAGTTCTCTGACTGAGGAACCTTGCAGACTGCAACAGAGATGTTGTTTTCTCCCTACTATGACACTTCAGTAGCGATAGTGTTTCCGTTTACACAGCAGAGTTGTTAGCTACATGGCCAACTTGCTCTGTTTTGACTACATAACAAGCTTTCAATGATCTCAAACTTATTGCTTCGAATTTTCTTCAGAAAGTGGACTGCAATGGAAGGTAATTAGTAGGTAATTTGAATGTCTTCGAGTTTTATTTTGCTGCCTGCAAGTTTTATCATGACTTGATACCAGTTAGAGAAAATCAAACAAGTAAGAATTGCTGAACACTTGTTTCAATCCCTTTTAGGACTCACCACGTATCCACCAACCAACTGTATTTCAACTCAAGGACCTTTTGTTGACGAGGTGAGCCTGAGAGCGTTCAGCAATCAGGATGCTACCTAGCATATTATGAGATCTAGCATTTGTCACTTCTAGATTAGAATTCATTAGATATTTGAATAAAATTTATGTGGGATAATGAACATTCAGTAATAATAATACGAGTGTTATTCATCACTTACAATCAGATGGGAAATAAGATTTTTTACAGTAAAAATAAGTAACTCGTTAGAATAATACGATATATGGGAACTGTAATAGAATTTGCAGATTATTTGTTATCATTATTAGTTTCACCATTATTTTTATTTTGCTTTTGACCTTTTTTGTTATTCCTAATGAATTGTATAGGACGGTTATTTAACACCAACGACTCATCTATCTGTTTCATTTCATCTATGTGTCTTTTTAATTTTTATTCAAATATCTATTCAATTCCACTCATGTATACAATTGAAGCAAAACGTTGTGTGCGTAACTTGATTATGAGCCATATGTGTACTCGAAACGTCATCAGTTCAAACTAATGAATACCTGTGTGATTTATCAGAATAAAATCTTATCGATAATGCAGTCATACTCGACCACAGTTTTTACTTTTATCAGTGATGTGATCATACTCTTAGGAATATCGCTTTCTAAATCTACCTTGAAATTCAGGTTTGTGTAGAGTTTCTTTCTCAGCGTAAGTGAAGTTTCATTTCTCCAAGCTTTTCGTTTGATATTTTTGTTAATGATTTTTGTTAGGTATACATTTTGGATGAAGATTTCTCCCAGAAGATTTTTTTCTGTTAGCTCAGTTAGCATGATGTTGTTTAATTGGCGGTGGTTAGTAGTGAAATCAAAGGCAATGTTTTGAATCATATTTAAATTTTGAAGTTTGATTGTAGATTGATGTCACTCACAGAACCATTGGAAACCAACGGGTAGAATGAAACGGCTGTTTCGTCTTAGTGTTGGACTCTTCATGAATATTCACCCACTCAATTTAAAATTCAAGCACTTCAGTTACAAGCTCGCTAACCGTTCAGCCAATGTGGCCCTATATAATGTACCACAAACTTCGAATTCTGACAGTTCGTTATTTACTGATCGTAAGCCGAAGTATACAGGAATCCTAGTGGAATGTCGTGACCGATTAGTGTGTACCAGGCTGGGTACATGTGGAAGACATAGACTGGTAGTTGCATAAAAAACCCATAAATTAGTAGAAGTCAGGATTTGTGGTCCATCGGATCGATTCTAAGTGGCTGAATTGTCTACGAGCTTGCCTTATAAGTAAAAGCCATGGATCCCAACTAAGGTTGACGCATACAACCGAAAAGTCTTAAACTGGAACCAAAAGCTGTCTAGTACTCCTCAGTTTTCTGTGATTCTGTGGCATCCGCCGCTGATCAAACCTTAAACAAGTCAAATTTTTGCAAAGCACCTAGTGTGAAGTAGTTGGCTGAATTCAACTGCATACACGTTAAACGAAATGCAATACGCAGTAATCAACGGAAATCTAACGCGTGATACATTAAGTTACATAGAAAGTTACATCAATTCACTGTGTAATTTGTTGGCGAAACTTGTTGGTTTCCTCTTTAGAGCAATAATTTCACTAATGTTCGTGTACAGATGACTGGACAGTAACTGCTGAACTTGTGGTATACACCACTAATTGTTCTTTTATGAGACATTTGTCGTCCATACACCACATATATTCTTCCTTGCAAGTGAATATTTGGGAAGTCGAATCTGTCATCAGCATTGTGTTCTATTGTGAAAGTGATGCATCCATGTGCATCATCAGTAAACTAAGCAGATACGATGCATGACTCAGAAGATTGTATAAAATGCATGTCGCGTCTTCGAATCTACAGTGAGAAATTGTTTAATTAGTTTCACACTCAAGCTCTGGCTGCTCAGTATAAGTTATAAAAGCAACTGCGACACAACGTAATGGACTATCAACTGCCTCTCCTCCAGTTTGACAGTGCATCTTGTCGTAAAAATAGGTACGTTAAAAAGCACACGTTGACGTTTTTGTCAAAAAGTAGGTCATAGTGCTGACAGGCGATGTATCACATTTCATTAAAGATAATAATTTAAACGAGTCCTTTGTCGTATCTTAATACAGCCGTTGTCAAACAGGTTCAAAAATTTCAGGATTAATAATGTAGGTTTCATTGTATTGGTTCTGTTAACGTAACGTGCACCAAATGAGACGCTTAAGGATTCATTTCGTTGCATGTGGAATCGTCGATCATTTTCTTCTTCGCATCAGAAAATTCTATTATTATTTTTTCTCATTATTTTATAACGCGTGCAGAACCTTGGATGCACTGAGTCGCATGCTACATCGAAGGTATTGTTTCAAATAAAGAGATCAGTAGGAAAATGAATCACCAAATTGTCTGTGTCGTCTTTGTCATGCTTTGGTCACATGTGCAAGAGAAATAAATCTCAGTTTAATGAGAAGTGTAACACAGAGTCATAGGCAATGCTTGCTTGAGATATTCTGTAGTCACCTAGTCTATATGGGATTTTTCGAGCCATTTTCAATGCAACAACTGCTATACATCTCATCGACTATTGTATTCTCATGAGGAATATAACACTGACTGCATGCTACCTGATACAACAAAGCTAAATAAGTTGTGTACATTGTGATGATTTTTAACACATTGGTTAAAGAGATTAAGGAAACGATGAGTGGATTCAAACTCTCAAGGTTCATCTACTGTGGTCTAACAGAAGTGAAAAAATCTGCATGTGGCAGTCAGGATATCAGTATAAAAGGTTACTCGTACAAAACAACACAGTCTAATAATGAAACCTCTGAGAGGCGATTTAAAAAATACTGCACTTTCTGAAGTGAAATAATTAACACTTCGTCGATTTCACCCTCACATTCGAAATGTAATTCCATAAAAGTCACGATTTGTTCCATAGAACCTTAGCCAAATATCTTATTTGAAAACAGATCTTCAGTCAGCTCGTTTTCAAAGACGATGATATTATGAGAATGATTTACTAAAAAAATAGGAGCCGTCCTAAACAGATGATATCATGCAGCAAAACTGGTCTCTCGACTCCGAAAATCATGCTGGCTGGGACAATAAACCTTTGACACGCACCCCTCTTATGTTGCTTCCAACTGTGTATATTGATTCACATGTAGCTACAGTGGCAGTCACATTAAGAGAGCATACAGTTGAGCCTTAGTCAAAGTTTTTGACCTTGTACCAAAAAGAATGAGTAGTGCGGACTTGTCAATAGCTAAACACGTGATGGACAGAGGACGGCAAGTTAAACATTAGAGGCATCCAAAATAATCAACAGACAAACCATTCGAAGTCTTCTCCAGTTTGCTGAGACAATTGCAATGGAAACGGCTCAAATGTGACCTATGCAATCGAAAAGAAATCCATATTGGGAATTGTATTGACCCAAAAAATCCCTCCTTAGTGACTTATTGTCATCTGATTCCATGATTTTTCGCCAGACTTATATAAGACTTGATTTTGTTTGCTGGAAGTCCACCAAATGTATTACTCTAATGACCAAATTTATGCGGTTATGGTCTGAAAGCGACGAAGTGATCTCTATTTCCCACTATATGACTGACAAAACTTCTCTGAGACACGCGCTATCACTGGCTATCCAAATGCAGAAAAAGGATGAACATTCTTCAATATTTCTGCGGTTGTATTAAACAATAATAACATCAAAACTAAAATTTATGTCAACAGTGCTGTGAGGCAGCTACAAGGAAATGCTAGTTTCCAATGCAAAACTAGAACTGTAAGGCAACCTTAGTTAACTAAAGTTCAACTGTAAAAGGCAACTTAGAATCGAGGAGAATATTTCTAACTCGGTGGGATCAATAGCTCTGTCCACATTATTCACCTACCTAGGCTCCTCCCAGACAGTCACGGGTCAGAATGACCTTTGTTCACTGTAACAAACTCACACCGTTAAACAACACATTGTTGACGTACACACAATCACAAAGGGAAGCATTACAATTCGAGAGTAAACATGGAAAAATGTAAATAGTTGAACGTTTGAATGTCACATGTTGATTTTGTCCTTTGTTAATGATAAACAGTCTAAAGGAAATGCGTGTGACAGTTACCAAGTTAGTTGGGACGTCTAAATAAGTAGAGGGAGGGATTTTGCACATCATTTTCCTATTTCAGTTACATTATCATCATTTCATTTGTCATCTTGGATACCAAATTTTGATTTTTCTACCTTGCGACTTCTAATCACTTTATTTCATCATCACTTAGTACCCACTTATCTCTAAATTACTGCCATGTTAACGACAAATTTTCTCATTTCTACAAGATAATTCTCTGGATAACACTCGAGAAGGTGACGTTGGTTTGCCGAGTCGTTCTACCAATGTAATTGTCTCCAAATGAAAAGTGGAATTTATTAATGCACATTGAAATGGCTGGACTCGGTAGATTGTCCTTCACCTGTATTGAAATTATACCACGGGTGACGAATTGTAAACACAGTGTTGCTGCGAAGAATGTTTGGGCTGTTATTTTTCGCAGTTTTGATGACAGTAATTCAGTTATTGCGGCTCCTTAAAACGGTAAAGTCAGATACTTGAGATGCACATTGAAGTGAGCATGGAAGATATTGACAAAATGAGCATTCCACGTTTCCCAGTCAGATTACCTATTTGGAAGTAGACAATCCCATAGAAATCGTTGATCTTAGCTGATAATCCCTTCCATCATTAATTTAAAACTAAATTACTTTGTGGAATTGAAATAATCATCGTCCTGTGACTTATAACCTTTACACGCTCAATATTTTGTTGTTTTCGCGTTTGAAAAAGTTTGCTAATAAAAAATATGCACACAATAACTCTGTAATGTGTGCCGACTCTTTGCTTTGATATCAATGGTTTTATGTTTTTGTGTGTACAGCATTCAAAAATAACTTACGAAATTCGACTATTGTAACAAAGGTGATTTTATATGAAATGTGATAGCATTAAACCACTATGAACGTACTATGATCACTCTATATATAAAATTGCGTTAATAATTTTTATCAAAAATTCATATTAATATAAGCGTGAGAAAATAAGTGAATATTTCCAAAGGCTCACATTCGAAGACAGAAGTTACTTCAAGTAAGTGCGAATTACAAATATATCCATCGTGTTATTTATTCCAAAATTCCAATTATTATGGCGAATATACTTAACGTACAAAATTCGATACACACATTCGTGACAATTATTCTCGTTAAGCAGGTAAAATAATAGTCAGGTTTAAAGTAGCCTTTCTGAACTCCTCACTGGATGGTGTTTCTCATAGAGAGTAAATCATCCATTTCCGCAGAAACTTAATTATCATTATTATAACTTCTGCTTCCGCGTGGAACAAAGGGCTTCAGCAGTATATCTCCATTATGGATAAAATTTTATTTTGATAAATCGCACAGTTTTGTACAGTAATATTTACTGTCATTAGTGAATATAACTGTACAACACTGTGTGATTTATCAAAATGAAATCTTATCCATATTGCAGTCATACTATACTGCCATCCTAACGTTTGACACCTCGAAATACCTTCACTAAATTGAGACGTTCCTGTCAATTTTTACTCAGCAGGGAGATTGGAACGAAGCTTTCGTACTAGGTGGCACTCACCAGCAAGGTGTATCTGCAACCTCGAAGGAACTCATGTCTCTTCTGAGATTCGAACCCGCGTTACCCAGTGCTGTGGTCAGAGATGTTACCACTGAGCTATCTGGGCTTAAGATTGTTGGATGCAATCGGTGGGAAACCTTGAACCTAGGTTTCGTACCAGTTGGCACTCAGGTTCAGAGCTTCCTGCTTAGTGCATCCAACAATCTTGAGCCCAGATAGCTCAGTGGTAACGTCTCTGACTACAGCAATGGGTAACGCGGGTTCGAATCTCAGAAGAGACATGAGTTCCTTCGAGGTTGCAGATACGCCTTGCTGATTAGTGCCGATTTTTACCCAAACCGACAAATGTGTTAGTGGTCCGTATTTTCTAAAGTGTTGCGTAGTTACCAGAGTTCCTTGTTGCTAATTTCTACCTGCTGCCAGTCTAATCTTCGATAATTAGCTTGTCGAGATGATAACGGTCTGAAGCTTTTTAGGAATGTCTCTAGTGACACATCAAATCTCTGATACACATGGAAGAAATGATTGACTTCATATTACTGTTGAAGATCTGAGATTTTTCTTAAAGATGATATCATTAGATTTCCACAAGGGTTTGATTTAATTCATGTAATTGCCTATTGTTGAAACGCCACTTCCTAAATAAGTGTGATAATTAAACGCATTCAAATTTATACCATTACTCAGCTGTTCTTTTGAAGAATCCTCAGAGCGGCTTTTAGGGCACTCCAAATCCGATGTATTATGTTCGAAGTACTCTGAAACATTGGCATACCTATGATAATCCTGTCGAACTTATCGTTTGAAACATAAGCGATTTCAGTAAGTTTAGCATTTAGACGTGACTATGTGCAGCAAGTATCTTGAGAAATTCCTAAATGCATGTGACAACCAGTCTTACTCATGTATGCGTGTAAACATACGCATGCAAATCGGTGTGCAATGTGGGATGTGACATAATCATTCGCGCACTTTTTAGATTTGCAGTGAGGTATGTTTTCGGTTGCTTCAATAATTATAAGCCACACTGCAAAATAGGTTCTACGCATGACCGAGCTCAATCTCTCTCTTAAAAATTTGACTACTTACTTCCGAATGACATGGTTATTTGATGAAGACATTTTTTGTAATTTAACAGATCGTTAATTCTAAAACAGCCTTCTACATCGGTTCAAAAATTTTAAAAGATACCTGTTATCAAAACGATTATTCACCAGAATTTAGTTTGCATCATTGGAAAAATCAACTGTACTAATACACGGAATTCTCTTGAATGAAAACTTGAACAGGCCTCTCTTATACAGTAATGGATACGAAATACATAGAATGGTTTCATAGAACCATACCAAGTTTTGATTTTACCATGGCCAGGTCTTTTGCAGCATAATCCTATGTCAGTTCATAAGGCATGCCTTATCCATCTCAATCTATGTAGCTCAATAACCTTATCTACCGACTTTCATTCCTTATCTAACACTCGACGCGCTACCTGGATATTACTGACCGTATGATAACACCTAACACTGGTGATTGAATATAAACACTTATGATCAAGAATAGCTGCCTTATTCACATGATCAAAATCAGTAAATTACACTCAGAACTCTATCCAGTTTTCAAGAATTTATCATTCTGTTGTACCAAATGAACTTAAATAATGTGGAATCTTAACCAACAAGATGCTTCAAAGAATTAAACGCCAGTGATTTCACGTTAAATTATTTATACATTGTTTTTATTTTACATTTCTAACCAATTGCACAATGTATTTTAGTTATTATGCTACTTTGTTTTAGTTTACCCATCCCCTGTTTATTATGGCATTCTAATTCTTATTGTAATTTTTATTAATTCAACCCCTAACCAGAAATTGTTCTGGAACTTTCCCATCCATTTGATATAAATACACGAATGTACAGCCTAGATGTGACTTCGTCGAAAAGAAAATTTTCTTGCTGCAACCTCACGTTAGAATTATTTAAATTTATTGAACATAATGATAAAAATCAATTAAAAATACCGAATCAGGTCATGTAATTCGTTATCCGCAATGTGTCTCAACTTCGTAAAAATTGTATATTTCATAAGCATTCACTTGACAATAGGAATATATATCGATGTGAATAGGATAATCATTTCACACCATAAACAGAATGCCCGAAATATAATTGTGCAATCAAATCTTCTGGTTGTTACGCACGAATGAAGTGTATTTGTCGTCATAAAAATTGCCTACAGTATCAGAAAGTTAAACAGAACAAACATTAATGAAATTCCTTTGATGTTTGAATAGTGTATTTGTTGTGTCACTTATTTGTCTAATTCATAAACACATCATGAATAAATTTTGATTCAGAAAAAATCAAAGTAGACTGAAAAAAGGTCTTCAATGGTCGAGATTTCTTCTGTGCTACTATATAATATTTTTTTAAATTGTTTTTTGTTGGTGAGTCTAAATGACGCGATCTGATGAAGACTTCGGGAAGACAGCCAGCTAATGCGTCCTCTTTTGATGGAAGCGAGAATAAGGAAGGGGAGGTGGAATGTTCTACAAGTGTTCAAAGCGCCACGAAAAGCACTTTCAACATGTTGCAGACTTGTATCAAAATCCGCCTTTGCTGGCGCCATAGTGAAGAGCATATGGCCAAAGGAATTAGCAGCACAAAACTCTGGTAAAAAGCCAACCAAAATAAGAATCTTTCAACAAATATTTCGAAGAAATTGGAGAAGGATAGAGAAAACACTGATTAGACTGTCTGCTGAGACCACGTGGAACGCCTAACCTTGGCTTGAATCGTAATGAGAAAGACGATTGGGACGTTCTGGGTTGATATGGAGGAATTTTTGTGAGGTGGAGATGACAGATTATGATCAATCTTAGGCCCAGCTAAATGGGATCGAAGAACACGTGAAAAAGTGAAGATATGATGTTGAATCCGCATGTTGCACTCAAAGAACAAGAGAACAGTAATACTAATAATCATGCACTATATAAACTACATCATGACAGAATAAAACAATGTTTGTCATTTTTCCAAATATGTGAGGGGGTTAAAGGGACATCAGAAGCACGTATCAATAAAATCAGAGTCGTCGAAATGTCTTCATGGATTGAGGTATGATCTGCTTCGAAAATTATATTATATAGCAAGGCATCTGTAACTCCTTCGTTGTTCCACAATTAAAAGTTCTCAGTTGCACTTCTTTACGGTGATACGCAGAGCATGGCACATGAATGTTTACAGACAGGCACTTCTGGTAACCACAAATGCAGTGATGTGATTAGATAATTCATAATACGCAGAAGCCGATAGTATCCAGCGATAGTCAGAAATCGTATCACAGAAGTCAAATAATGTAGTGTACGAATTACACAGTCAAATTTGGATGACGAGAACTCAGTCACCTTTGGGGGAATCATCGTAACTCGATTGACAGTGGTCGGAGTCACTTCTGAGTCAGCCATCGCGTCATTCAAATTCATTTAAAAGCGACTGAATGGGTTCAAAACATAATCGCCCGCTGAATGCATGTTTCAATTTCAGCAATTCTGCTGGTAGATTATTAGTAAGTCATAGCAGAAGGAAGAAACAAATCAGAGTGTAGTAACCGGTCATATTATCTGCAAACGCATGAATCCATTTCTAGTTCTTTCCTTACGGATTCATGTGGGAAGAACAGTGGCAAAATAATCCATGAACATATGCTAAAAAATAATACCACTAGTAGGTTGAGGACCATTGAGAAGTAGCATTACTTAGGGTGCAAAGACGGAATCAATTACATTCCTAATATAAAGTTAACTCGAAGTTCAGCTGTGAAGAAGGTCTCTTTCAGTGATAGGAACATCCGGTTTCTGAGGAAGTGTCTTTCGCTTTATTTGAATAAAAGTTTCACAGTTAAAATTCGACCAACTATCTTTACAAAATTTCATCGGATTTACAAAGTCAATTATTCGCATATTTTTCACTGTTGTTAGTTAGCAAACGTTTATAAAAGAATCTAATTCTGAAACATTAACTTGTGGTAACCTCAATAAAAGCAATTTATGAAGACAATCGATTGAAACTTACTGACGCCACAGCGATACCGAAACAAACTGCAACACCAATCCTGTAAGCTATCTAGAAAAAGAAAAATACTCAAAGACTAACAAAGTGATTGAAGCATAAATAAAATCAAATAGTTTCGGATGCACACTCTGAATTCGATTAGACTAAATATCTCAGAAAGAAGAGGTTGAGACTTAAAGCCTACTTCACTAGTAAAATCGCTGCTGAATCAATATTGTATGCTTTCCTGCGCCTAACATCTACCTTAAATATAAACTTGTGATTAGATTAGGGTTTTTCAGAATATCGGAACATAAAAATTTAGCTGAGTGTGGAATCACTGACCTCAAAATGATGAATACATTGAATGGAGGTACATAATTCAAAGTACATGCACCAACACACAGTTATATAACATGTTGGGACAGAGTTATATTTCTAAAAACAATAGAGTTAAATGGAGGGAGAATTTGATCGTTGAATCTTTGTTCAACGAATCTTAACCCAATACATGCAATAGAAACGGAACAACTCTGTCACAAGAGATATGGACGACATTACTATCATTAAAATCAGAGGACAAAAATCAGAGAATCACATAAAACACGTTTCACAATTGTATAAGTACCTTGACCAGCAAATTACTGTTGTTCTTAGAGAAGTACGTTTGTTTGTTAAATACATATTTAATTCGGTGAGGCTTCACAAATATGTTCCTGTGAATATTTTGCTTGAACTATGCTGTGACAAAATTCAGTCTTTTTTTAAAACTTACGTGTTTGTTATCTGTTGATATTTGAACAATATGCAGGGCAGCTCCAATGATTAGTGCAATAACCACAAATACAAAGATGATAATGGTTAGCATTGTGGAACGTCGTACGTTCACAGCTATAAAGATCACGAGTGCAGTCGCCATTAGCGTTACACCACTGGATATCGAGGCGTACAATACATCGATTACACGGAACAAAGTGGCGAATCCCATTGAACACAGTATGTACTAGAAGCGTTTACAGTATTATGTTAGTAAATTGTAAAAAAAGTATAAAAATAAACAAATATATTTATATGTGTATATAAATGTAATGATAGAAGAACAAAGAATGCGTGGTGGACCTTCATTAAGTCATTCATTAATTTTCTTTTTTCTTTTATATTAATTTCCTTCCAAAAAGGCTTCAAGCTAGAGGCTTGAAGTTTCAGTAACAGTGGTATTCATTCAAAGGAATAGCATTGCTAGCCTCATTGCTTAACCTAATTTCTTTATCAGTCTCCTTACTGGCTTAGCGAGGTGAAGGAGTGCGTCAGCCTGAGTTTTACCACGTGGTTGGAGAGCGTGCTATGGTGTGCCACCAGCGCCTTCATTTAGTCAAAACACATCACATTTTTACATTCCTGACCACATCAAAGTTCGGTAACGTGAGATGACTATACATTGTTCTGATTAGTCACCAACTGACCCGAATTCGAACAAGTTTTCTATTGGGGTCATCTCACATCCACCATGTAAACAAGATCTAGATTTGAGGAACAGGTAATTCCAACTCTGCAACCAATGTCTCAAAATGGTAATTTTAATCGTTACCACTTCCTGTGAATCTGTATGACGCCACGGATACACATATATAATGAGGAGAGTTCAATGTCTAAATAAAGTGCTAGTGAAATGTTTTTTCCCAAAATGAATGTTGTTAAGTTCAGCGTTAAACCCGAAAAAGTGTAGTTGATGAGTGACTAAATGATGTTAGATGATAAGTTTTACCCAAACCTTTTGTCTCATTTCTTTTATTAACGACCACACTCCACCGAGCATTTCAAATACCGTGAATGCGGATTCATTCCCCGACACGTTTGCCTCGTGAAAGGAAGGAATCGTGAAGGATTCAGGTAGGATTTCGCGCTCTGTGAAATGACCGTCTTTGAAGTGTGATACTAATTCACCGAAAGCATATCCTCTTTTGGCGAAACTCTATTTTGAGTATTTTTGCTGAATCCAAAACATTGAAAGGAGAGCATGCGGGGTTCTGAAAATGTCAGGTTTGTTCGATGGGAAAGATATGTACTAATGGAATGGATATCACAATCGTCATTTTAAGAACAGCTGCCTCTCAGGTATACGGAGAAGATTTTAGTTTCACACACTACGATATTTTTATGGATTCTTCATCAATAAATTTGTTATCTCGACTAATATTTAACGTAGAAAGTCAGTCTGTGTTCTGAAAGTAGATAATATCCACCTCATATTGAAATTTTGAATAGTTATCTTAGATATTCACCTCGTATTCAGTTAAAAAATTTCTCAATCACTTTACGTTGAATCTCTTGAATATTCTATGAGTAAGATAAATGTGCTGTTATTATATGGTTGCTTCGTCTCATCACTATTTTAAATACCTAAACACGCAATACTTAAGTCAGAATAGCATCCATATCTATGAGAGATTATTGGCATACTTATGAAAAATATACTAAGTAGTATCTCTCTCGGAATAAAGTGATCAAATCAGTTAATGATTTTCGGAAGTTTCAAAGCCGGACTCCTTATCAATCTGTTAACATGAGGACAATTTAAATCAGGAAATCGTTCAATACGTGATACAACATCAATATTCATTCATCTCCGAGGACAACCAATCACAATTAGGCAATCATGAGGTAAGCTGAATCTATTATACATGAAGTATTCCATAATCGTCAGTCTTTCTGAAGCCACCTCTGAGTATTTAGTCTAGGAGAGGAAGGAATACTCCCACCTGAGTTTAGAGAGTTTGTCTACGCTAAAGATACAGTTAATATACTCGAATTCTGTTTTATGAGACTGTGTGCTTGAATTAATAGGCGGTTTGGATCACACTGTCATTGACGATATGTTGTTGTGACCACTCTCTGTGTTTTAATCTAATAATGGTTCCTCTCATCGAGGCAACTGGCTAGTCACACTTCCTAATAGGTATATAGTGCACCAGTGTCATGGGGAAACATTTATCCATACGTGCATACTGACGCGTATAGTTTTTTGTATGCGGTAGTGACTGTAGGTCATTTGCACACGAGTCATTTTCATAAGTACATGTGATTTGTCATTATCACGCTAAGGTATTAAAAGAAACACCAACTATGATGAGAATGTGTTAGGATGTACTCCACTGTTTAAACCCAAAAACTACCTAATTTACGGATTTAGAATATTTGCTTTCATTAGGCCTTGAGATGTCTACTGAATAAACAGTTGAGCAATAGAATAAAATACTTACACTGAATCCTATTAGATAATGGTCGATTTCTCGGTTATTTCCAAGTGCCTTGACTAACACAAGAATAAGAATTGGAACACATCCAAGAATTCTGAAAATATAATTTGGACAGACGAACTGATGAATCGAGCAACCACTTTTGTGTAAACATTACTGAGAAATTATGGTGGAAATATACACATTCATCTGAGAATAAATGTGATACCCCTCGTGTAAGCAAAGTGGATTACGTAAAAACAAGCTATTAATCAAAGGACATGCGTTTTGTGCATTATTTCTCCCCATCCTCCTTTATGACTGTGAGACTTGGTCATTGAAATTGGAAGATATGCAGATGCTGTCTAGGTGTATTTGACCATACTTTTCCACATTCTATCCCCTGTGCTAGGTGGTATATTATGATAAGGGGCATTGAGTGTAGGTGCCTGGTATTAACCAAGGAGGGAATGTAAATCAATTAGGTTTTGGAGCAACACTGATTCAGATGGCTAGGGCATGCATTAAGTGGGCCTAGACACTAAATGCCTTCACCGAGATATGATACAAGCTGACAAGGCATCAGGTTGTAGAATATCTAGTGGTGGTAAAAGCAAAACTAAGAATCAGTTCATGAAATCTACGACATTTAGTTTGAGCCAACCATGTCAGGAGGAGCAGGCTTACTGGTTCATGTCAATGAGATACTAAGGATTATTGATATGAGACAGCTTGTGATATGACCCAATATCGTTTTCAGTGCGAAAGATGCACTCACACTTTGTGTTTCCCCATAACCGTCAAACCACAACGTTCCTTAACGGAACTATTGTTTCTTCATCGATTTTCTGCTGAGAGTAACCATTTTGAATTCTTATCTTTCCTCCCGTTCTTTCCGTCTTTTTCTGCTTCATAGAGAGTGACAGCTTAAACTGCTGCACTTCAATGCAAGGTCCTGTGTTGAAACGCAGACAGTTAGCAACAAAATCAGTATGTTAAGTTTAATAATTAACTGTGGCGACGTGGTAGCATTAGGATGCATTTTTAATAATAACATTAAATGCGGAATAATAATTCTGAAGGTCAGAAGGTCCCCCAAAAAGGAATACATTTCTAGATACCAACTAAACAATTATTGCTCATAAAGAAGAGTTGAGCCTGGCTTACTGTTTGATATGGGGACCTTTCGAGAAGGTAATAAACATCAGGGAGCACTTGGAAAAAGACTGTGCAGAGCAGGTTGAAGTACACATGCACTACTGTAGCCCTGTGTTCCTCTCGGAACTCTGAAGTTTCACAATATTACAATATGATCGATAATCAAACAACTCATGAAACAAATGAAAAACATTAAAGAACTCAATGTGTTTATTTATCATACAGAAAATGTACTTACATCAGAATGATTGTCACCCAACTGTTCACTCTAATCCATTCATTCACCTCCTCTCTAAAGAGCGTTAAATTATGTTATTTCATCAGAGAATTTAAATGTTTTGTCTTACTCATTGTTCACCATTACAATCATTCCTATTGTAATTAGTATCATTAACGCCGTATCAGCTATCATCTGTGTGAAGGGAGAATGAAAACAAAAAAAATATTGTTTTCTTACCCAGAGTAAGAATAAATTGCGGTTGCTCAAGTGCAGTTTTCTCGAACTGTCAAAGCTCGCACCTTCACCTGACATTTGCCTTCACCTATGGGTAGAGTTCCATGAAATTCATAAAGAGAAAACAATGTATTCAAAGCTGAATGAATTCAATAGTGACTAGTGCATAATGAGTAGGGGCATGGGGAACAGAATATTTAAACACTTATCAGCATAATAATATTTACTCACCTGAAATAACTAACTGGGATTTTAGTTTTTCCAATATAGTCAGAGCTGAATTCTGAAAGACTCGACAACTTTTATTATGATGAATCAGAAACGTAGCAGTGCTGGCTTCTGATTCCATATATATCACGACAGTGGTATGATTATAAGTTAGGTCTCATTTAGAATACTGTGAAGAAGCGGCTTTTCTGTAATTCACTAAGGAGGCACATCTACTGAAAAGAGAACATACAGCTGGACCAAATTAGTAATCAGTGGTATCTCACACCTTTCTTGTAAGAAGAGGGTGAAACATATAAATCTTTGCCCATTATCATACTGAAGGAGGAGAGGTGACTTGATTATGTCATATCGCATGTCAAAGGCTGGTTTGGGGATTGACATTTCTGACCGTTTTTCTTTCTCCAGGATACCTTCTTAGGTGACCAAGAAAACATGATGAAACTGCAGACGAATAAGAAACAGGCTAAATTTAGCTTCTCTAACAGAGTAGTCAATGACTGGAAATCCTTTCCCGTTCAAGTATCATCAGCTATGTCAGTGAAAATTTTCTAGGATAAACTACATGTCTGCATATGAGATTCTCTCATGAAATTCTACAGTTCTTTGTTATATAAACCAACATAAAGATCACTATTAATTGTCGTATTAGTAATTTTATAACAGGAGTATTTAAAAACATATTGCCCCTAATTTCTTACACAGGTGGATGATAAACACCAGGATTTGTTGAAGTTAAAGTGAAAGCTATACGACATAGCTACGTTTGATAATGAAACTATGTCTTTTCAGTGGTGTACCTCTAGAGTTTGGGTATTTCAGACCAACGTTCAACCGAAAAATTTACGCCAATAGACTTTACGCCCAACCTACATAACTGTTCTCTTGGACCGCTTCGAATTTTGATGGATGAGAAAGTAACGCGTCACTGGAACAACTTATTTCTGACGATTTGAAAGATACGCAGTGAGTGACTCAAGTCTCGTCATTCCTCATCCATGTTTTTTGTCATTTTTATCAAAGCCTTTCAAGTTTCTGTTAGTCAACATGCATACCAAATCATGTCTTGCACCTAATGCCTAAATTGTTGTGCCAGATATCAGGACAATGATACTCACAGGATTCCGTAATGGAAGAAATCAATCAATGATCTTACTTTCAAGAATCTAATTATATGTCATGCGAAATTATTGGCAAGTATCATTCATGAGCATAAACATTCATAAATATCTGTCGGGTAGAGTACATAAAATTTCATTAAAACTACTAACATGAACAAGTTAATAAATATGCAGATATTAACAAAGTGTAAATGTTTAATGGAGATTACAATTCAGCTGTCACTCACAGCTTACCTGTTTTAGTTTTGAAATCGTTATACCAATGAATAAAGCAGTAATTCGAAACCTTTATATTAGACCTATTCTTTATGAATTTAAAAACAGCTGAACTTCGCCCTTCATAATGAACAGCCTATTTTGTTCTGTGAATGCGTTTTCTATACGTTTAATCGAATTTCATGCTACATTTTTAACGATTTTCTGATTTATTGTGATTCTGCCAGTTTATCGCCACCAATTCAAGATGGCGTGGTGGCGTGATGGTACGCCACGCTAAATTACTAAGTACAAATCTTGTGATACTACAGAGGGTGAAGAGCAAAATATATGAGAGTACATCTACTCCATAGTAAAAATGTCATGATAATACTTCATCAGTGCCTTTCAGATACACGATATATAAATATATATAAATGTTTATAATGTATATATATTTATATTTATCATGCTACCAGATAGACTGTAGGCCATATGGTTCCAGTATGCCGAGGGGAAACACTCTAATCACTGATAACAACGTCAACCACCAGTGCAAAAAATACTGTCACTGCCGTGTAAGAATGGAGAAAACAGAGAGTTGGTCAGAGATCTCTAAGGTAACAGTTCAGACGCCTTGCGACGATGCTTACTTTATGGGTTTAAGTAACTTTGACACTTACAAAAATCATGTGCTAGCTACAAATAAAAGCTAAGCCTTCACAAAAAGTGACAATACTGAGTGCTGTTTACTGCAAGTTGGTTAACACTAATAAGTCATGATGAACATGCTAGGAGAGGTGATGATTAAACAAGGAAATTATTACAATAATGATAGAATGGAAATAGTTGCAAAAATCAATCAAGCATACTGCATGATGAATAAGCTTTTGAAAAATAGTAACTGAGGAACAAGTGAGTGCTCAAGTTGATTACGTACTGAGTAATAGAAGATGAATTAAACAGAATGATGAGATAATTTAGAAAATTATTACTTCTCTAAGGATGAGATGGTGGCACAGACATTGTCAGTTTCTTACTCTCATGTAATAGTGGCTAGGGGAAGGAAAGTGACTACACGACCAACTTCTAAACACACAGGTCTGGTTTCTTCAGGTGGATTCTTATGGTGTCAGCTTTACATAGAAGACGCACTCGTAAATCAAATTTACGATTATTATAAATGCTGTAATTACCTGTAATCGCTGTATTAACACCACCTTTATGATCTGTGACTACAAGGTGCGCTAAAAGAGAGCTATAAGTGGGCCTTGTAAATCACTTGCTTAACCATGCTAGATGATGATGTTCGGAAATACAACGATGAACCTGTCTAGTTGAACGCCTAATAAAGCTGGCTGAGCAGCTGTAGCCAAACTGGGAGATACACATAGAGGAGGCAAAATTATGTAGTTTGTCTTTATATCTCGATCGTAAAATAGGAGTGCAAGTAAACAGACAATGTACCTATGATGCATTGAAAGCTCTTTTAACTGCATTTTGCAGTCTCTGTGGTGGCCTACATTAATCACTGGGCTTCCAAATTGCTTTTAACCAAAATCTTTAATTTCATCTGGATTTACCATTTTTTTACTACTCCAGTTATATCAAATGATCCGTACATGGACTGGCGTGGTGACTTACATTCCTTACAATTCTTCAACGAAATGAAGATTTACTTCACACTATGACTTTGCATTTAGATCCTATATGAAGAAAAAGGTATTTTGGAACTAAATACGACAAACATTTTTGTGTCATATATTTGCATGTTGTCTCAAATAAATATATGATTATTATTTCGCTGATGTTATCACAGAGAAACTACAGTCTTATGGACAATTTTTTTCAGAACTGTTGCCATACATACTACATCTGGTAATAAATTTACATTTTTCTCAGTGAACGTATCTGGATTACCATTTTTACTAAGTAACTCTCTACCAATTGGAAGCTCACCATTCAAGGAGCCGTTTGAACAGATTATCCTATCTTTATGAACCTGACACTCGACCAAGTTACATTTATATATTTAAAAGGTGCAAAACTCAAGAAATGTGTATACTGACCTGTTATTGTAGGTTTTCTGCACACACTTTTCCTTATTATATCATATTTCCTGTCCAGGGATGAGACACCATCATTACTTTCTTTCTATATGTTGAAGTTTATTTCTGAAAGCGTATCGTTTAACTTCTCGAGGATGTTCATCACTTTATTCTCACCTTTCATAAGCAGAAATACATCATCCATATGTCGAGAGTAGAATTTGAACTCACTGATGCCTACTTTCATTGGTCCATTTTCTAATTTAGCGAGGAAACAATCAGCCAGGATTAGATCTGATGGGTAACCCTTAGCCACTCCATCAGTTTTTCCATAGTATGCCTTATTGAGCAAGAAATGAATACACATTGTGCATCTTAGAATAGGTTCCTTCATGGAGATACGGAAACGCCAATGTGTATGTTTCACTTAGTAATCTCATAACACTGTCTCAATTAACGCTACATTGGTGAACAAGGAGGATACATCAAAAGACATCATTAGAGTCCCTCACATTTAGATCCTTTTTTCGATAGATTCAAAACTATATTTTACGCTTTTTCTTGACAAATCCTTATGCAGAGGCTTTTGGAGTTTCACTAACGATTTTACTGTTACGTGATATTGACAATTATACAAGTCCATACTGATCAAAGTCATTAAACATTTTATGCATTTTTCGTATCCTATATAATCTAGGTGTGACCGTACCCCTATGCTTGAGTGATCCGTATAGACCTTCCGTGATGGCAACTGGATTTTAGGCGCTCAGTCAATTGCTCCTCAACAGTTTCAGTCAGGTCAAAGGAAGAATCAATTTTCGCTAATCACAAAGTAATCCATTCATTTTATCTAGGTATTCAGTTTTATTCATGATTGCTTCCTTAAAACCATTATCAGGCTTAGTTATTGGTGTGTTCTCATTTTTTTCGCCGACTTTGCAGGACTCCTCCATGTTTTTTGGTTTATAAGCTACTCAATTTCCGTTTTATAATTAAACATCTATAGCAGCAGTCAACGAGAGTTGATTTAAGATATTCAACTGCCTCACCTGCTGAGGGTATAAAGCCTTCAGTTTGTGTATAAAGGTTTTCGAACTGAACTTGCATATCCATTGCAATACTTCTAACAAAACTTAGTGCCAAGGGATAATACTTGCAAATTTACACCATCTGGAACAACATTTGAAAAACTGTCATCATGTAACAACAGAGGACAAGGGCCAGGCAACAGATCGTTTATTTAGGAAATCAACAGATACTTATAGATTTTCATGTACATTATTATAGATTATTGTAAGCAATCAAACACAGTCTTCTGATTTGAGGTTTTACGTTGAACGTTATTCTTTCATCTCTTTGTGATTGTTTAATGAAGTTCAGAATATCTATCCGCAAATTGAATCCGCCTACGCAAAATCTGCTGTGATTGGTTGTTGAATCAATCATTGTTCTTATTTTTCTCACGACCAATATTGGGAAATACAAA